ACCCTACGGACAGCAAGCAGCAGCTTGTTATAGTCCGTACCTGAATCAAAGTGATGGCGAGTCGCTTGCTTCAGGTCATCACGAGTGAGACCCATCCAGAACCGGCTTCGAAGCAAGCTAGGTGCAGCATTGTGTGGTAAAGTGCCAGATGCCTCTATCTTGGAGATCAAATCCCGGAGGCGGCAACTCCACACAGCGACAGACTCATTCTTTTCCTGGCGGGCAGTGTAAAAACGCTCCATAAGCGTCTCGCCAGGCATCACATTGCCAAACACTAAGTCCAACTGCTCAATAGCAGTGTCAAGGGTAACAGTTTCTGAAAGCCCACTAAGTAGGTCAGCAGCTGAACCCTTGGCGGACCTCCGCATGGCATTTAGAATTGAAGTGTCCGAGAATGCATTCTCCCTACGACACCCAACAATCTCTAAATGCCATTGCTTATACTTGACCTCACCCTTGGTCCCATCCCCAGAAAATGATGACAACCGTGGACTGGGAGAATTGATAATGGGCATGTAAGTAGGCTGAAAGGGTGTGACAAGTCTAGGAGGAGCACCTACACTATGGCTATAAAAGGTAGTTGGATTATAACCTGGATATGGTGTTGGAATAGTGCGGCTAGGCCAAGACTCATGCGGTGTGTGTGAAGGTTGTGATGGGTAACTATTCAGGTAAGGTGTAGAAGTTGCCCTAGGCTGAACAAAGTTGTAAATTGAACCATGAGGCCTAGGCAGTGAAGCTGGTAGGTCCATCATAGGACTAAGGTTCACAGTCGCCGGAGAAATCTGAAACAGATTCTCAGAACCTGTGGGCATAGGTGACCTTGATGGTGGCGTATGACTAAGCAGATGAGGTACCGGCCTAGGGGAGTGAACAGGTAATGCCACCCTAGGACTGGTATATATTGTAGGTGGAATAGTGTAAGTATTGGACAACCCAAGACCTGGTGCACCAGTACCAGTAACACGATATGTCGTATTGGGATGCTGCAGCTGATTTGCAATATCATCTGCTAGTCTATTTAGCACACCAGTGCGGACCGAAGGATGCAGATGCTGAAGGCAGCTAAGTACCACATCGACCTCCGGGTCCCCACTTACATTAGCTTCAGCCATGGTGATACAAACTAAAGTGCAAGGATGTTTGATATGAGAGGAATATGAACTATATGACACTATCAAAACTGAAGTACCTCCTAAAAGGCGACAAGAATCTCACAAGTTAAGATCCAACAAACATCTGAACATCAACAAACTATGAGCTCCTCACCAAAGGATACAAAATGGATGCGTCTGAAGTTCAGCATCTAGTGCACCACAAGGTACAAGAACAATGAACTGCAGCTAGCCAAAAATAGAAGTAAGGGAACCAAAAGTCCTCACTGAGCTAAACTGGAAAAGCAGAAACCAAATACCAAAATACGAAGTATCTGACAAAGTCTCCAGAACAAAAGGGAAAAATACAACTTTAGTTTGCTAAGGTAAGTAATACGAAAAAGGTAAGTGGCAAGGTAGGTGTAAGAACAACTGACCACTTGTTGTAATAAGAAATATTACATGACTAAGCTACCACAATCTGGTTACCAAGCAGATGTGTAGGATAAACTAAGTCAATTACGGCAAAGATCACAACAATCTTACCAAAATGTTGCGAGCAGGAATATATATAGGAAGAACTAAGTATGAAGCAATATATAAGTTGCGAACGAGAAGTAATCAACACAAGAGTAATGAATTTGTTTTGATTTGAATGATGAACTAAGATGATGAAATGGTATGAATGAATAGGACGGCACAAGGACAAGACATGATATGGCAAATGTTAGTTGAGCAGATAAGGAATTTCCCAGCAGTGAAAAATATTTCAGACAGGAAAGAAGAGTGAGAAATTTAAAGTAAGAAATATGAAATAACTATTTTAGGGTACTTACTTTGCCAAAAGGTATCCAAGTGACTTAACAAATTAAATGGCTTATCTTATACCAGTAAACTGCAAATTAATTTAATAAAATTCATTGAATGAAGATGAAAATTACAATATATCACAATTAGCTATCACAGTTAAAGGGCAGTATAAATAGAATTTATCAAAATTCTGTAAAGATATAGGTTGATTTTAAATAAGAATTTAATTAAATGAGAATTCTGCAATGATAACTCAGAATGGCAACAAGTGGGTCACACAGCTGTACAACTTTACAGTTGTCAACAGTGCTTCCTAAGTGGAAAATATGATGATCACAAGTGTGACAAGATAAAGTTTCAAAAATGTTCAAGTAATGGTGATGAACATATCAAGCATATATATATATACAATGAAACAGTCAACTAATGACATTCTGATAAAATTTAGTTCAGAATGTAAACAAAGTTCATGGTCACAGTTCACAGATCAAAAGTTCATGTGTGAACAAAATGACAAATACATGTAAATCAGTTAAAATAAAAGTCACACTTCCAGGAATTGGAGGAAGCACCTCAATTTTAGCACTGATGCAGACGAAAAGTTCAACGTCATAACAAAGTGTAGATCACTGACGATTGAGGATCAAGATTTAATTTTAGTCAGAGTTATAGCTCAACGCTACACACAAAACTTCCACAAGTTGCATGGAAGAAACATCCTGAATCTTCAATGAAGAATCCTTCAACAGTGATGAAGGATTACCCCCAGAACACGATGAAGTTGATGAAGCCTGTGTCCAGAGTGACAGCCAACGGCCCCACGTTGGGCGCCAAATTTGTAGCCGGGGTAGTGGTATTTTATCCGGCTCGGGCCGTTGGGAAACACAGACACAGGCAGATGGTGATAATGGATTTATTTCAAGGGGGGTGGCTGCTGTTGAAGAACTACCTGAAGAAAAGAAAATGTCCTTCCTCCTCAACAGCAGCACATGAAGTCATATATTTGCAAGTTTACAGGTATTATTTATCTTAAATATAAAAGTACAAAAGCCATTGATAAACTATACTAAAACTAACTTTAATGTTAAATTACTGTTATATGTTCATTATAGGATACTTGGAAAGCACATGGTCCAAAATGGACCATGTGGTTAATTATTTTACAAGCAAGTTTTATAATATCAATATTCCATTTACTAATTTAATATTACTTTAAATGATATTATATATATATTATTCAATTTAATTCAGCACCCTAATATAGATATTAATTTCTGACAGAAGCAGATGAAAACAGATTGAAATATGGCCATTCCATACCTGAAGAAAAGAAAATGTCCTTCCTCCTCAACAGCAGCACATGAAGTGAGGAGGAAGTCAGGTATGGAAGGAAGCTACCTGTAGAGGACCAGGGTGGCCAATTAGAAGACAGATTGCATTAAGCATCAAAGGAAGTGCTTAATGCAAGATATAAATAGACTGAGGGAAACCCTACAGGTGTAAAAAATGTCTAAAGATAGACAGAAGGTTGAAGGGGAAGATCTGGTGAGAGATTCCCAGAGACTGAAAATAAGGGTGTTGAGTTGTTTAAAGAGTTAGATACTGATATTCAACTGTAGACAAGACAAACATTGAACATATAGATGATTATGATGATGATGTATGAATAATGATATAACTATAGGGTACCCTGCTACACATTGTTTTACTATTTCAGGATGCAACAGACCTATGACTACCTGTAGCACAGCTAGGAGGTCATAGTTAGGGCTGTTACAATTCACCCACATGATCAAATCAAACCGTATACCTTCATGAATTCAAATTGTTATTCGTGGTCACTAGAATCGAATATTTACAAAAAAATTTAAAAGAGTGTTTTTACCGGTACTTAAGTTTTCTGTTATGCAAGCTATGCAAAATGGCAGTACTACCCATGCAGTAGTCTGTTGTGTGGGTCATCTACAATTCCACCTCAGTTCAACGACTGATTGTCCATAACAGTCAAAGGCAAGCGTGCGATCACTGTATTTATTTTTGCAACCATGGTTACACAGTCATGTGCATTTACATACCCTGTACCTAAAAATATCCACAAGGACTTACTGTATTTATACACAGATTTCTTCAATGACAACACTCTTACATATTTCATTTGACAGTAATGTGGTCACTGGTCATTGTCACATTTGAGCAGATACTACCTGGATAAGTGCAGTATATAAATGTATAATATTATAATATGACATAATTCTTATTGAGGTCAAATACCCAATTTCTTTAGAATAATTTACCCACCTGAACTAGATATAATAGAGACCAATGAGATCGCCTCATCTATTTCATATTTTGATCTGTGTAAAGATTCAGAGTGACAAAACACTCTCCACAAGACTAGAGGGATGACTCCCAGTGTTGTCTGTTTTGAGTGGTAGTGGAGACTGTTTATTAGGGGGAGTTGAATTTATCAACTTTTCCAATCAATTTTCCTGTTGAGCAATATTACAACAGCTCCAGCCTTTGATGTCTACATGTCACAACTTTACAAGTATAATTTAGCATGCTCTTCCTACAAAGATTTCAAAGTGCACCTATGGCTCCTGCTCAAAAGTTGCTTGATGAGGGTTACAACATTCAAGGCCTCAGTAAAGCTATTAAAATGTTTTTTGACAGACCTGTAGAGGACATTTTCACATTTTGTCAGTGACAAAAATGATGTCCGATGCAGTAATATATTTTGACTTGTACCATATCTTCCCCTGTTTTGTCAGAACAGTTGACTTGGCTTTGCATGTGTTTGACATTGCTGGGGCAGGATGCTATCACCTTTTCGCAAACAGCTGGTATCATCACTATTTGTGTGAGTCCCAAACACATGCTCAAGCTATAGTCAGAATCATCATACAACAGACTCTTCTTTAAATAGATATTTCTCATGATTCTGGAAATATCTTTTCATACCTGTAGAAAGGCTAGGTTTGTTATCACCTGAACTTATATTACTGTTTATATATTTATATATTTTTTCATCACAACAGGATAATTCTATTTTATTGTCAGTGTTCAGTTAGCCTCAATCACACAACATAAACTTACCCACTTGTAGGAACAGCAGACTCCTACTCAACATTATCTTCACATCTGCACCACCCATTCTGGAGAGGATAAAGGACAAAGTAAGGTGATGTTGTTCCACTCTTCTCACAGCGACAGCCTATTTGTGGGACTGTGTAGTCTGGATGAGGAGGCTGACGATGGGATGAAATACTCCATACATATATTAGTCCTACAAAACAGTCATGCTTCTTGTGAATTACACCCATTGATTCAATGGGTGCGTTGAACAGTTTGTTAAAAAATAACATGAAAAAAATGCCTCATGCCCTGTTTACAATACATTGGATAAAAATCTAATAATGACTTGACTGTGTTCAATTTAATTATCATTTAGATCGCAACTTAAATTTGAAATAATTATCTGCATTGTCTGTTGTTAACTTTGCGCATTTAATGAGCACCTCACTCTTGTCGTCTGTCTGACCAAGTATTCCTGGAACGCAAGTTATGAAGTATTAAGTCACTCTTCAACACTCCTTCCTTAACGTCAGCAAGTCATTATCCTGCATTCATCATTGCTCCACTCGTTTGGCCCTGTAGTCTAAATATGACCAGAATTACCTTCAGTGGATGTCCCCAGCACTTGTCTCAGATCACAGAATGATATCGGGTTACTTTCGGTGCCCTGCAGCCGATGTAGGGCGTAGGAGGTGGCCAAATGGTTGGGTGGTCAGACTCGGTGGTTGATTGCATGGCCGCATACCCTGGCTCACGTCATAGATCACTGGATTGTCGGGTCCTAAAACCGACTGTCATGCAACAGAAATACTGCTGAGAGCAGCATTAAACAACAAACAAATGAAAACATCAATAGTTGTTCGTATCTCTCAGCGCCTGTTTCAGGACTTACGGTTTTATTTGATATTGAGCCATTTTATTTTTAAACATGATTTTGCATATCTTAAATAATCAGTATTATTTAAAGTAATTGATCAATTTAAGCAATTGTCAGGGAGTATGGTTTTGTGCTGCTTTTAGCAATTTCGTCTAAAAATTATATTTAGTGAAATAAAAAAAAGAGTTTACAAATATGATTATGTAATTGACCACCAATCCAAGAATATCAGTTTTTGACAATTATTGTCATGTGACCTTTGACCATGTTACAATTCAGCGGTTATTGAACTTGACCTATCTTAATCAGAAACTATCTTACATAGGACCTGCCTGCCATGGACCATGGACATTATCTATATTTATAGGGTCCATGCATGGACCATGGACATTATCTATATTTATAGGGTCCATGCATGGACCATATCTATATTTATAGGGTCCATGCATGGACCATGGACATTATCTATATTTATAGGGTCCATGCATGGACCATGGACATTATCTATATTTATAGGGTCCATGCATGGACCATGGACATTATCTATATTTAGGGTCCATGCATGGACCATGGACATTGGCTATATGTAGGGTCCATGCATGGACCATGGACATTATCTATATTTATAGGGTCCATGCATGGACCATGGACATTATCTATATTTAGGGTCCATGCATGGACCATGGACATTATCTATATTTATAGGGTCCATGCATGGACCATGGACATTATCTATATTTAGGGTCCATGCAGGGACCATGGACATTATCTATATTTAGGGTCCATGCATGGACCATGGACATTGGCTATATGTAGGGTCCATGCATGGACCATGGACATTATCTATATTTATAGGGTCCATGCATGGACCATGGACATTATCTATATTTAGGGTCCATGCATGGACCATGGACATTGGCTATATGTAGGGTCCATGCATGGACCATGGACATTATCTATATTTAGGGTCCATGCATGGACCATGGACATTGGCTATATGTAGGGTCCATGCATGGACCATGGACATTGTCTATATTTAGGGTCCATGCATGGACCATAGACCTTGTCTATATTTAGGGTCCATGCATGGACCATGGACATTGGCTATATGTAGCGTCCATGCATGGACCATGGACATTATCTATATTTATAGGGTCAATGCATGGACCATGGACATTATCTATATTTAGGGTCCATGCATGGACCATGGACATTGGCTATATGTAGGGTCCATGCATGGACCATGGACATTATCTATATTTATAGGGTCCATGCATGGACCATGGACATTATCTATATTTAGGGTCCATGCATGGACCATGGACATTGGCTATATGTAGGGTCCATGCATGGACCATGGACATTATCTATATTTAGGGTCCATGCATGGACCATGGACATTGGCTATATGTAGGGTCCATGCATGGACCATGGACATTGTCTATATTTAGGGTCCATGCATGGACCATAGACCTTGTCTATATTTAGGGTCCATGCATGGACCATGGACATTGGCTATATGTAGGGTCCATGCATGGACCATGGACATTATCTATATTTAGGGTCCATGCATGGACCAAAACAATAAATAAAAAAAATAGAATATAATATATAAAATATTATGACCTTTAAGTGGTTTAAACATATATAAATAATTTAAGGCATAAGTCATAATTATGTGCGATGGAGATAAGTGATCACCAGCCAGTGCAGATAAAATCAAAAGGAAAACTTGCAAATTGTGCAATGTTGCAGTTCATGTTAGCTTGATTCGAGTTCCCTCCCCTCTTAGTCTTACTCCTTGTTGCGAACTGAGATCTCATTTTTCCTGTCTGATAACACCACAGTCTATCACAAACAACACACAATAAATAACATCCATTCCACAGAACACGTACAGACAGAAAAAGCTGCGCACGTTATTGCATTTAAATTGACAAATTCTCCCCAATAACATAACAAATAATATCAATAATTCGTTTGTGTTCGTGCAGAGACTATATTATCGTATATGTCTGTGGTATTTATATTTATATCATTTTCCACCTAAAGCGGACATCATACGTAAAACGGATCGATAATACCTAGTTGGCCACCCGCAACTAATGAACGAGTTACGTCGCATGGGTATCATAATTAATGTATGGCCAACAATGACAGCAGGTATTGACACTGTTCACTTGAGTTGCGCCACATTCGTGTCTTACCCTGAACGCCCGGAGATAATACACACAACTAGAGACGATCAGTATATATATATATATAGTCTCTGATACAAGGCTGGTGTCACCGTGTTCTTTCACTTTCACAACACAATAAACAATCTGCTAGTCCAGGGAAATAGTGGCTTTGGGGTGTTCCGCCTTTACCGCCCATCAACTGGTCGCTGAAACAGTTTTTCTTCAGGAGGGATTCGCAGTATGTATACATGAGCGACCACTAGATGTCAGACAGAAAGTAAACAGTGCACGGGCAGGACAGCACGACCACTACACACTGGCCCGTTTGCTCCGTGATCTTAGTATCTGGTGGACTGGCACTGTCAACTGAAGTCAGTGGTGATAAAACTCTTAATTATAGTAAACAATCAAATAAACTTACGATAGAATGTGTAATGTGTCTGATTTCCTTGCTCGTACTGACATGTTAGGAAAAGAACCGATAAAAAAATCCTACTTTCGTTCTTGTGAAACAGGGGAGACAACTCAAGTTATTTGCTTCCGTGCAAGAAAGATAGTGCCATTGGACACAACCCAACAAAGCTGTGGAGTTTGGAGTTTAGCAACCACGTCAGATATACTGAATTTTTTTGTGAAAAATGTTATGAACACACAATGCCATTTAGAAAGTGGTCAAATGTAAGAAAGGTTTACACTTGTCAGAAGGGTACACAAAGTACGTGACCTAGACTACCAGTTGTCACACTTTCATGTTTGTGGAAGCCTCGGTGGCTGAGTGGGTTAGATCGCTGACTTTGTGTTCTGGCGATGAGGTGCCTCACTCTGACATTGTTGGTTCAAATCCCGGAATTACGAGAATTTGTACTTTACCCAAATGTAATCTTAGTTCCATTTGACCACTTTCTAAATGGCATTGTGTGTTCATATTTATGCTATTTAGATGCAATAACCCTTGGGTGTTGGACTGTAAACCTGATAAAGATTATCAGACGTGAATTTGTTTCATGACATTCCTGTCATCCTTCCATAGATATGGAGGATTGGAACACTCATAACATGTGACATCAACACACTTGAAGACATTTCAGTTTATTCTAACACTCAGTCAAGATTTGACTGTCTTATTTGGTCCTTGTCATACCTCTTTCAATATACCAATGACTTGGATAGAGGATATAGGGTTATGTACGTTTACATTATGCAATGATGTGTAATATTTAGTTTTGTTTCCTGTTCTGTGTTTCAGATCTTTATCATTTGTGATGTCGAATAAAGATATTTTAAAACAGTATAACACCACTCTTTTAGCATGACATTATATGCGATTTTCGTATCCCAAGAGGTGAACAGTATACTCGACTTTGACTTATAATTCACTTCGGGACCGCCCCCGTGGTCTAGTGGTAGAGCCTCCGCGCGGAGAGGGGACCGCCTCCGTGGTCTAGTGGTAGAGCCTCCGCCCGGAGAGGGGACCGCCTCCGTGGTCTAGTGGTAGAACTTCCCCCCGGAGAGCGGAAGGACCGGGGTTCGATCCCCGGCCGCGTCACACCAAAAGACGTTAAAAATGGTACCGTCTGGCGCACGGCATTAAGGGGCTAATACAAAATACAAGGACCGGTCGGCTCGGAGTCAGTTTAATCTGTGTCATGTTAAACTGTGGCGTGGTATCTCAGTGAGCTAGCACTACAAGTACAAGCAGCCACACGCACACACATCCCCCCCCCCCCCCCCCCCCCCCCCACGTGCATGCACGTCGCTATAAAAGTGCAATAATATTGGGCGCGACGTTAAATCCAATTTCACCTATATTTCACTTCCCAATTCTTCTTTCTGTACGCCACACATATCAATGAAAATGGGAGGTTTGTCTGTCAATGTACCAAGTTGGGTATAAACTGACTCAGTAACACTGAAAAACATTTAGATTTAAAGTGTGAGAGAGTTGGTTTTAAGATCGATTTTAACAGTATTCAATTTATATCATGTCAGCTTCATGCAATGCAGGCGATGCAGGCCTCGGGCGTTTACCACATTATGTGTATGGACTGAATTATACAACGTGAAAATTTAAAAAAAACCATAACCTTGAATATATATTTTCTGCTGTTGCCCACTTTTAACCCGACCCTACCAAAGCGCAAGGCTTATCTCGCGAAAACACTTGCATTCGCAGGAAGGCGACTTTCACTCGGTACCATGTTGTCACGCCCTATACAAAGTCGCCTTTTTTACAACTAGCGTGTGTTTTGTCCATCGTTTCAGCCGGGCTTTTTTTGGTAACAACTCCTATGTGCACTATTCGATTTAGATGAGAGGGTAGTAAGCCTTGGCTCAGTCTTCATACATAACGGCTACTGCCACTCCCGGATGAAATATAATACTTGACACATTCCATCATCACCCTCTGTACATTACCTGCTGGAAGTCAGTGATCTGGACTGGTTTGCCCACTTCGTATACTAAGATGAGTGAGTGAGGCGGATGACACCAGACACACTGTACTGTGGGAAATCGAGCCGGGCCGCTTTAAAGGTTTATTGCACCGCTGATGACTCGCGGCTCTTCCCCCATTGTCGCAGTAGGCTGGAAACACGGCACCCGAATACACCAGACATCAGTTGTAGATGTCACACAAACAGCAGCCTCAGTCAGTAGTGTTTATTCAGTGTAATGACGTCATGCCTGTAGGACATGTTAACTCACGTTACTATTCACGGTATACATACAGTACACAACGGTATACATACAGCACACGACGGTATACATACAGCACACGACGGTATACATACAGCACACGACGGTATACATACAGCACACGACGGTATACATAGAGTACACGACGGTATAAATACAGCACACGACGGTATACATACAGTACACAACGGTATACATACAGCACACGACGGTATACATACAGTACACACCGGTATACATACAGTACACGGCGGTATACATACAGTACACAAC